GTTCAAAAGAAAATAAGGTTGTTTGTTATTACATTGTTTTTGAGAAGACTCGTGCATCAGCCTTTAAGATTAGGAACACATCACCAATAGAGCTGATCGCAGCCTCCTTGTCTGTCCGCCCGGCTCTTCTGATGCTCCCGAAATGAGACACAGGTTTTCCAGAGGTGACGTGCTACTCCGACTCAAAAATTATTCTATACTAATACAGCGATAGTACTAACAACCGATTTAAAACATTTGTGGCTAACGGAGTTTCAACACTTTGTGACTCCATCTAACAGTGCTCGTAGAGACATGTGCTCTCATAACAAAATAAGAACATCATTACACCTTGTGTAATGCCTGTTCTAGGCGAGTCTTCTAAAGCATACCATGAAAGTCCGTCATTTACCGATGGTCCCGAAATAACATGTCCAGTACTGAAAGGACAAGGTTTTTGGCTGCCGTTGCATGAATGACCATATTTAGATATCACATCCGCTTAATGCATTTTTTTAATTTTTATTTTATCATAGCCGGATCCCACACAGTATTCCGGCACAAGTATGGGATTTTCAGCATGTGATATCGGTAGCCGAAATTTCGCAGGCTGACCATTGATATCAGGTGTGCGTCGTCTGCCGGTCGAACCCCGGACTATATGCATGGTCGGCGAGCGTCCAAACCACTGTGCCGCAGATGAACGGAAGCGATGCACCACTTAATTTGGGCTCATGAAGGTGCATGAATTATAGCTTGCAAGTGAAGCGGCATAAGAAATGTTCAAGTAGGAGAATTATAGATGGAGCTTTAATTGTTGACGTGGTTTAGTGGTTCAAGAGTACAAGAGATGAGCCCACCCCTGAACAGATTTTGACCCAATATTGGATGACTTGGCATGTTTAAGTAGTCAGTCCCAAAACTCTTTTTGGCCTAGTGAAAGGAAATATTTGCCGAAAATGCCATCCTAACATGACCTCACAGAACTGATTATAAGGCCCTAGGATGATAATAAAAGTCATATAGGTGCTTCGCAAGTACTCATGACGGTTAGAAAAGTTTTGCTAATGAAGAGGAAGCATGTCGATACAAAGAATCATTGAGAACTGTGTGCGTTTCCAGAAGGGAATGCCAACCCAGAGTTCCAGTTAATCGTACAATGTATCAACGACCGAAATTGGGATGGATAACTATCTTCTCTCTTCAGTCAGTTTGGATCATTTTGAACCTATAACACTGGCACTAAGTAGGTATCTATACATACTACTGTAAGTCCTAAATACCATCGGGCTTAGCATAGGCTTTTTGAGTGCTGTTTTAAGTCCAGGGGACCGATTTAGAAGTCTGAGTGAATATGGACGCGCACGCCTCTGACAAGACAGTTTGCTTTTGCACATATATTGAGTGCTTTGCGTTTAAATTCTTCTCTCTACCAAGGCAAGTTTAAATCAGAGGTTCTTTTCGTGGACAGTGTTGCATCTAAGAATGTACCGAGAGATGCTAATATTGTAATTCATTTACTATTTTGCATTCTTATATGTGTTCGTTTCAACTTACCTGTGCAGCGACTGAAACACCCAGACGACAACCACGAACACACTGAGGGAGGGGCTATCTTGATGACACTAGTGGCAGCCAGAGCCCTAATGCAGTGGGAACCAATCCCCTCATCCAGGATCATGACAGCAAGGTTCAACTCAAAAGAAAGGAAGGTCACAACTATCCAATGCTACCCACACTGCTACAAACAACGCGGAACAAAAGAACAAGGAAGATTTTTACAGACAGCTACAAACAGTAATGGACAACATCCTGAATGGTGACATCGAAATCCTTACGGGAGATATGAATGCCAAACTGGGAAAGGATAATATAAGAAGACAACTTATCGTTGGTCGAGAGGCTCTCACTCGGCGAAATGAATGAGAACGGAGAAATATTCTCAGACTTCTGCGCTTTCACTGATCTGGTGATCGGATGCAGCGTGTAAAAGCACAATGATTTACACAAAGCAACATGGATTTCGCCTGACGGACAAACCAAATAGACTTCATCTCAATGCTGCTCAAGAAGTGGAGACGCAGCTAGCCTGCTGGATACAAAGTCAAGAAGGGGAGGAGATGTGGGCTCAGACCATCATCTAGTTCAAGGAACCTTCAAGGTAAGGCTGAAATCCTTCAGAACAACTGGAGACAGGCCACTGTATTTCAAGTTCAACATTCAGAAACTTAAGTACAAAACTATAAATGATACCTTCACTACACATCAGATCAGTGCAAATTTGGAGGCACTACGTCTGGGCATCACTAAGGAAACCTGCGTGGAAGAACATTGAACCTAACTCTCTGAAGGTGTACAACCATCCGGGGAAGAAAGAAGAGACAAGACAACGAATGGTTCTCAACGGACACCTACCCGGAAGCGAATAGAAGAGAGGAGAGGGGGATGGTGAAAGAGAAGATGACTCAATGCAAAGATGCACAACAGAAGTAGAAGCTGATTTCAGTGTACACTGCACTGAATAAAGAAGTGAAGACGAGTGTGAGGAAAGACAAAAGACAAGTCTACGACACACTGGCAGCTGAAGCAGAACAGACTGGCTGCGGGTGAAAGAGACCTAAGAAGATTATGTCAGACAAGCAAATGGGTTGAACATTTAAAAGGACTCATATATCAACCACCACCTGCAACTCGTCCGGAAATAACTCTAATGGCATGCACAGAACTGCCGGTGCACATTAATTCTCCAGAAAACTCTTGGATGCGATCAAGCTACTGAATTCCGGGAAGACCGCAGGACCAGACAGAATTCTTCCAGTGGCACTGAAAACGGTTTAAGAGGCCTCATCGGATGTGCTGACGCCACTATCGCACAAGGTTTTGGAGAAATGGAAGGTACCTACAGATAGGAAGAAAGACTACCTGGTGAAACTATCAAAGAAAGGTGCCTTGGGTCTGTGCAGTAAACATTATGGAATCATGCTTTTGTCTACGCTAGGCAAGGCATATCTTCATAACTCTGAAATTAGCTTGAAAACCTGATGCAACCAGCACAGAAAACAAGGTTTGGATGTTCAGTTACTTATTCTATATGGGTGAGAAACTTTGCGCGTCACGGAAAGCATTTCCCATGAGCCATTGCAGACTTTTATCAACAGCTGCTCTCGCTCCATATGGGAGGTCAAATGGCCAGAAAGAATTGGCAATAAGAAACTCTGGGAACAAACAAATCAGGAAACTTCTCCTCAGCAAGCATGCAGAAAAAATGGATATGGATTCGGCTCACGCTTAAATCATCGAGTGATATCGCAATCCAGGCCATCGCTAAAATGAAACCCTTATGGGAAGCGACGAGATTGGCGTCTCAGGGTGATATGAAGCAGATCGTGAGAGGAGGAGATTAGACTATGGGCCGGAGCATGGACATTTGAAGGGGACCATAGAAAGCAAGACAGTGGACACGCGATGTGGAAGCCCTATTTTCCACTCGGAACCTAAGGAAATAATAACGAATAATAAGCTTGGTTTTTTGGGATGACCGAGACAGAACCTCCGGTCACTTACATTCTGGCTATGACACATGTAAGGAGCCCACCCGGTTACCTGTTTCCACGGTTTCTTATTAACTGGCCAGATATAATTGATGATTTTCTACCATATCACACTTATAGAAAGTTACAAGGATCCATGAAAGGTGCCTACTTCTTCCAACAAATATTTCATACTTTAAAAGAGCGGATAAGTCCGCTTGAAATCACCATTTCAAGTAGTTTAAAGAAAGTTTTACTGCTGGAGACTTCACTATATGAAGAATGATGATCTGCTGATATTTGCTAGTGCAAGAAAAATCACAGATTTGGCAACAATTATATTTTCCAGGCATTTCATTATTTTTTAGATGTCACTATCGAAGTTATACCGGGTAGCATAATGACGTGGCTTTATGCTATCAAGATTGAAGTGCTTAAGGTAAAGTCTTCGTGAAAAGGGTTACTTTTCGGGAACGCGTAGCATAAAACCATGAGCAACTACCTGAAATGTTTTGGCTGAACTTATGCCACTGGCTGTGAGAATGGCGTAACGGTGAAATCCTTAGTTGGGGAAATGAAAGTTTTTATCCGTTAGAAGAAGCTAATGATGGCGACAGAGGGTGGCTAACGCCAATGGAAAAGATGCTGATACTACTTTAAGTTTTAGGGCGAGGATATTCCTGATTCTTTCTGTATATCAGGTGAGGCATAGCACATGCTTCACACCCAAAATTTTGGGGAGTACTGAATAAATAAAACGTGATGTCTGGAATGGCGACATTCAGTTACTGAGCGAAGGTAAAAATTATGGAACTTTTAGCGAATGCTTAAGATGAATGAGGCGATGGGAATAGGTGAAATATTCATGGGTTTCATCCAACTCTTTCTGCATTATTTACATTCAAAAGTCATTCTTAATGAGTCAATCGAAATGAAACAGAAATGCATTTGGGAAGGTTTAGTCATGGACTTTCATATGAAACCAAAAACCAGCAATAATCTTCATATTTAGACACAGCGTTGTGCCAAAATTAGTTATCGTTGTTGTGGATGTGCCGCTTAGAATTATCTATAGAGATATGGTGAAAAATCGTCACAGTTTTTATTCCTTTGGTCGCATAGTACGAGAAAACATCATTAAAAGTCCAGATACAGAAAATAAAACAAACAATTTAAGCAGGGTCTGGAACTAAGTTGCCACAAACCCTAACAACTTTAATAGGAAGAAAACTCATGGCACTTTCAAATATGAGTGCTTTTTCACAAAACCAGGTTCCTGGCATTGGGGATGAAAACTTCAGCCCTGCAGATTACTTTTAGGGAATCTGGCCACCCTACTATGTTATAGACTCGAAAAGTGTCCAGATATGTTTTCTTGTCAATCCCAAGGATTTCTGAAGTGAGTGTTGCTAGCACAATATCATTTTGAACATAAATAACAAAAAGTTTCCATTCAAAATCTTGTGATAAAGAATAAATTCTGAGACTTACCTCTAGACTGAATGTTGAAAGTTCAAAATTTCCACTCATGGTTGCATTATCGACATGCCATTCATCTGCTTTTGAAGGCAAACTTGAACAGTAATCAGAAATATCATAATAAAAATCATTATGTTCATCATCAAGGATAGATAAAATTTGAGTAAAGAGGCCAATACTTAGAGAAGCATTGAAATTGTTTTCAGTTACAGTTTCTTCGGTTTGAACAGCAATAGAAGACATGTAGAACAAGAATAGAAAGGAAGAATATGCTACATACGGACGTAAATGAAGGGAAGGTAGTTACTGAAATGTGATTGGTGAATACAGAAGGCATGTAGCGCAACTTCTGTCTCATGAAAATCCCAATCTTTACCTGCCTAATATTATGGATTTAGTGAAAACTAATGTCAAAAGAATTTATTTCATGCACTTCAACATTTAGAAATGTTTTCCAAAAAGTTGGATTGGACATGAACATGGGAAGAAACAATAAGTATCCGAAATTCCCATGCAGTATCAAGACTGGAAAAATGTGATATATGAAAATAGTGTTAGTCATTTTTATGATTGATCAGTTTGTTTCATTATTCCTCCATCCGCTTGCGTTTTCCTCTCGTTGGCGCCATTTTGATTTCTCGTTGGTTTGTTTCACGTATGTGTATATCATTTTCTTAGAAGTAGTATCATAATGCGCCCATTTGGAGATTCAAAGGCTGATCAGGATAAAAAGCTGTTTGTTGGTGGACTTAATCCTAAAACTGATGAGAATTCTCTGAAAAGTTATTATGAACAATGGGGTGAAATAATCGACGTAGTAGTCATGAAAGATCCTAGGTCCCAGAAATCTAGGGGCTTCGGTTTCGTAACCTATAAAGATGCGTCGTCTGTTGATGCTGCACAAAACAATCGCCCTCACTCGTTAGATGGAAAGGAAGTAGACTCAAAACGGGCTATGCCCCGAGAAGAAACCAGTCCTGAGGTACACGCCGCAGTGAGGAAAATTTTTGTAGGTGCCCTGAGAAAAGACGTTACCAGTGAGGACCTGAATGATTATTTCTCTCAGTATGGAAATGTGACTGATGCTCAAATAGTAATGGCAAAAGATACAAATACTTCTCGAGGGTTCGCATTCGTAACATTTGATGATACAGATGCAGTTGATAAGGTGATTTTAGGCCGCCCGCACACTATTAAAGATTCGAAGGCGGATGTTCGCAAGGCACTTAGCAGAGAAGAAATGAACAAGATGAGGTCTAAGCCTGCACCAGCAAGAGCTGAATATAATGGCGATGGCTGGAATGACCAAACAAATGGAGGTTTTCAACAACAGTCTTGGGATCAGGGTTATAACCAACCAAGCAGACAGCAACAGCCATATGCCTACAATGGTGCGGGCTATGGTAAGCTCGATATGACAATTATACTTAATGTTATCTTTAGGTTATGGTGGTTATGAGTCAAGTTCATCTGTGGGAGCTTGGCCTAATACGGCCGATGGCTTCGGCAACTATCAGCAACAATCCTACGGTGGAGGTCCTATGAGGACAACGCCTACAGCTCCTTCGTACTCGCGTCCCGCCCCATATACTGGCAATGGTTGGCAACAACGCTAAGTAACGTCACTGTGAAACCGAACGCCTAGTGCATTTTGACTACCTTTTATCACTTGCTGTATAAATATACGAATCGCTTATTTTGATATTGCTTTGTACTGGCAGCTGTTTGTGACTAGTTTTTGAGGATCTGGTTGGGTTGCACTTGGATAAAGATGAAATGTGGCATGTTTCCGTGTGTACACGCAGATTCTTCAACCTCCAGTTTTCAACGCGAAGTGGATACTGCAGTTATGTCGCAAAAGAATGGAGAGTGCTGTGACAAGAAGGCTTCAACACAGCTGAATGTGGTCAGTAAACAAGGTGGGTTTAAAGCTAGCGATTTTGAGTTGCACTAACTGTTCTTAGACAAAGATCAGGTAACAACACTAAGATTCTAGGTGCTAAATTATTGATTTTGATTTAGCGTTCAGAATATGCATTTAAGTAAACTCATCGGCGTTCTTTTCCAAACACCTTAAGATCTTAGTTTCAGAATAAAATGCAAGTATAGAACCATTCCGTTTGCAGATTTGTTGCGTACGTATGTGTGTTTTCAGTGCTTAAGTAATTAAATGTACTGTACAAACAGTCTAGATTAATGGTGGATTAACTAATACACACTTTCGTCATCCACTTGTATAGGAAGGGTTCGAATCGTCAATAACTGGCTCAATGTGGAATGATCCAGTCGGAACTTCGCACAGGTGATATGGGAAGAACGTGTGCTTCACGGTTGCAGTGAATTTCCACCAGATGCTCCTGGTTTGTATAGGGTTTATTAATAAATAAAAGTGATTCGTTTAATTCCGAAAGGAAAAAGGGTTTTTATAACAGTAATCTTGCATATGGAGGTCTGTAACTGTCGAAACCAAAGTGTTACTTTGTATTGTGCTTATAATCAGCTGTACGTTAACTGTAGATTCGGTTGTATTGTGGATGTAGTGTACTACTATGAAATCCAATATCCTGTACACTGCATATCAAGTTACATTCCACCATCACTGCATGCACATTTAATAATCGTGTCGCCGTGATAAGGTTGTTCAACAGGAGGGTTTGCGTTTGAGTGTATGGTAAGCTTTTCGACGAAGTAATGCGATATTTCTGTTATCACCGTTTTTGTATCTTGCCCATGCTGAAATCACTCCTGAATGGTTATTGGATGGAGGATGGTAGTAATTTCCGTTCGTTGACTAATCTACAGCTAAATAAGTTAAACTGTCTTTTGGGTTTCTCACCTTGAAAGGAAAATGAACTAGAAACCAGCACTAAGTCATTATTTAGGACACTATGCGTCAGAATAAAATCATTTACTCCTAATAAGTCATAGTAAAGAGGGATTAACATTTTTCATCCTGCTCTCATAAGGAATAAACAAGGTCAGTCGCTTTGTGCTTGCTAATTTCACTGGTCTTAATACGTTTGTTTGTTTCTTGAATGTTAGACTAACAGTCTGCACTGAGTGTCTGAAATGACTTATGTACAATGGACACAGTATTGTAGCAAAAGCATTTAGCATCTATGCAAGTGAATGGTTGAGTCCTGCTTAGCGCTGATCTATCCACTAAACAGATGAATTAACTGTTGATTACTTAAGGGGTTGATACCCAGACTTCAAATCTATTAAGTGTAATGGATTGTCTTTATTGTGGTAAAGGTAAACTAAGAACTATTCTTAGTAGAAAATATTTATGCTGGCTCTCCGGTCGCCGGTTTCTATTCATAACACTCCGCTAAGTGCCACCCTTCACATTCCCTCCTGCAGGCAAACTCTAAACTGTTTCTACATAAGATTGACTAGATTTAACATAGAAGACAGGTGTGCAGCAGTTCGAGTTGCCACACTCCATGTGGTACACAAAGCAGGAGAAGAGAGTAAGGTGAGACTCGAAACAGACTTCTTGAGAGGAGTTTTTCTGTCACTGGCCTTTCGCCTGTTACCTGCCTAGTAGGCTTGTCAGACTGACACCCGGGGATGGGTACGTAATACTCTTCTACCAACAAACCATGCGTTTCTACATGACAGTCAAATATTCCTTGCAATTCTCCTCAGTATAGATTGTCAGGACTGTACTTGGACGTTAGTTATCTACCACCGTCTTCTTAAATATGGCATGACCCTATTGTGAATAACTTTGCGTAAGATTTTCCGCAAAAGTACACCAGTCCAAGTTGCCGCACTTCAGCAAATCAAAAAATAAAGAACGTGAGTTTAACGAAGCTATATTAGAGTAGAGATGTGTGGGAAAAAGGATAACTAAATATTCAGAATCTGGAAGATGACTAGGAGTATGTCCACCTGTGCCACCGTAAACAGTTTTAAACCTCATCGAAAATACTCGGTAATTAGTCAGAACTCACCTACCAAGGTCTGATGATATTGTCGAGGCTATATTGGGTGATACGGAACCAGGACTGATTATCTGACAGGCGAGTGCCTAAGACAGGGGACCACATTATGTGATATCACGGACACCAGGCAGACAGTCTTCCCCTCTCCATGCAGCTCCAACTGACAGCTAAAGACTTGGTAGATTGTTACTATTTTTTCGTTGGACCATCTCCAAATCTTTCCCAAACTACCTACGTCAGTCAGTATTGCTCTCCTGGAAAGGCTTGGTATGTGGAACACATGTCGCAACCATCTTAGTCGGTGCAGCTTCATGACCATGCCAAATGACTTGTTCGGTTTACCTAACCTCATTGTCACTGACCATATTGCAAAACATAACACGAAAGGTTGAATAAAGGCGTCTACGATAAAAGTCGACTGATCTTTTCTTATCTTCCACTTCTAAAGACTATGTCTCATACTTCTAGAGAGGGATAGGGTGAGGTGTCACACAATATACACGTCCTCTGACAGATGACTGGATGTCACGCCGGCATCAAAGCTAACTCGTTTTACGAATGCCGAACAAGCCCTTTGAATATATGCTAGAAAAAACTTAAGGCATCAGTCCACTAGTGCAAAGGCGACTTTCCAAATAAGTGAAGTAGCTAAAGTGCCCGAACACATCTCTCCGCACCCTTACACTAGGAGTTGGTGCAGACACTGAAACAGTCTTACATTTGACAAGCGGATCGTGAACCAGATGCATTTCTGTCTGGATTCAACATAGAACTTGGCACCGAAGTGCAGCAGTTCGAGTTGCCACGTTCCAAATAGCACACAAAGGTAGACAAGAAAATGAGTGAAGAGAATCAATAGAGTTTTGACAAGTATAAGAGTTAACAATGAGTAATGTTAGAAAGGAGTATGAAGGTTAAAGAGACTGAATACATCTGCGCCATTGACAATGATTTTGAGCCATGTCGCCTATTGTCTCCAGCCATTGATTCTTAGAGTCCCGAGGGCCCCAACCCGGAAGTCTGCATCTCCCTACCTGACTCAGTTTAACTGTCAGGGATTTCATGGATTGATGCCATGTTTTTGTTTGGCCACCACTTACCCTTTTCCAACCTGCACCTATATTAGCTAGTAATGCCCGACGGGGGAGACGATGGTTAGGCATGCGCAGCACGTGGCCTAACCATCTCAATCTATGTAACTTCATAGCCTCGTCGATTGATTTTCCCTCTTTACCCAACACTCTACGCCTAACGTCAACATTACTTACCTTATTATACCACCTAACGTGAGAAAGAGATCGTAAACATCTGTGGTCAAAAGCAGACAATCTCTTCATGTCTCCCGCTCTCAATGGCCACGTCTCACCGCCATAGAGAAGGACGGAGCGAACTGCTGAGCAGTATACACGTCCCTTGGTTGACAGCCGGATGTCACGCCTACGCCAGAGACGGTGTAAGTTAGCGAAAGCAGCCCGAGCTTTCTGGATCCGTGCTGTGATTTCGTCACCAATCAATCCGTTGGTGCTGATACAACTTCCCAAATAGGTGAAGTGGTCAACATGTTCTATCACTTCACTCCCTATCACTAGGCTAGGAGTTGACGTAGTCCAGTCCTGTAGCAGCATCTTGCATTTCACAGGGGAGAATCGCATGCCAAACATACGAAGATTGCTGCTCAAGGTGTTCAGAAGACTCTGCATCTTGTCAGCGTCCTCTCCTAACAGGAGTATGTCGTCTGCGTATTCTAAGTCCATAAGACTATACCCTGGTAACAAGTCGATTCCTAAGTCGTTAAGTTCAGTTAAGGATACTTCCATTAGCATATCTATGATGAAGTTAAACAGAAAAGGGGAAAGTGGACACCACTGGTTGTTATCAATTCAGATGACAATTCCCCATAAGCCCTTACACAGCTACGTGAGTTTGAGTAGAGTGCCTTGATTAGTGCAATGTACTTTCTTGGCACTCCCTTCATAGTCAAACATTGCCATAGAACCTGTCGATCCATGGAGTCGAAGGCCGCCTTCAAGTCAAGAAATATGGCAATTGTTGGACGCCTAAAAGTGTGCCTATGTTCTAGGATCTGTCGGAGAGTGAAGATATGATCTATGCACCCTCTACCTGGCCTAAAGCCCGCTTGATTTTCCCTCGTTTGTTCCTCCCGAGTTCGGCTTAGTCTGTGCATGATTACTGAGCCTAGGATTTTAGAGACTATGTTCGTCAGGCTGATTCCTCTATGATTATCACATGAGGACTTATCTCCCTTCTTGAATACTGGTATAATAAGTGACTTACCCCAATCTGATGGAACCGTCTCTGATTCCCAGACGTTACCTAGTACCTTAGTTAAACTATATACTAGTATGTCACCCCCATATTTAAACACCTCCGGAATAATTCCGTCGGGTCCTGCCGCTTTGCCTCGTTTCAAATTACAGATAGCTTTTGTGACCTCACTTACAGACGGCGGGCTAGTGTCTATGTCCCATTCGGGTGTGTGCTGGATGGCGGGGAGGCCCAGTGTGGCTGTAGGCAAGTTAAACTGTTCCTCGAAGTGTTCTTTCCAGCGTTCGAGGCGTCTATCCTGAGAGCTAATTAAGGAGCCATTTTTCTCACAAATAGTCTCACTTATGATTTGCCTTCTCCCACCCGTTTCCCTGATGAGTCTAAAGAGTTGCCTAGTGTTGCCTATCACCGATGCTTTTTCCATCTCTTTCGCCTTTGTCAACCACCACTGTTCACGGTCCTTGCGGAGACTTTTCGTAAGTTTCCTTTTGTGCAGCTTTCGCTCCTCATTGAATTCGGAGCTCGCCGGAATAAGTCTTCTAGCAACCAGATGCATTTGGATTTCCGCTATTTGGAAGCCTATACTTTGTAAGCATCTATACAACTCGTGACTGTACCATCCACATACCCTTGATTAACTAGACTTTTCTGTTAGAAGGTGAGTCCCTGAGAAGTCTTAGTCACAGTCACATCGATTAGTACACGTAACGTGAAGTTAAATTAAAACGGTGATGGCTGGTATCCCTGAGGGGTACTGCTGGTTCTCATCACTTAGGATGGCAACTTTCCATAAGGTGTTAAAGTAGAATATCTTGGTTAACGTTAAATATTCAGAAGAATGGTTACTGAACAAAGATTATTCTTTTCGATAACTTCATCATCAGGTGGCACAGTGGTTAGGACTCTCGCCGACCATGCACATGGTCCGGGGTTCGATCCCCTGCCGGCGCACACCCGATATCTATGGTCGGCCTGAATTTGGGCTACCGATATCCATGCTGAAAATTCCACACTTGTATTGAAAATACGGTGTGGAATCAAGCTGTAAATCAAAATAAAAAAATATACATGATAGTGAATGAATTTGTGTTATTAACAACATTAATGTTTAAATAACATCGAGTCAATAATATCAGTAGATTACGGTGCAATAGCATCAACATAGCAATAAACAATGTCAGAGAAATTAGGAAGACAATAATGCAAATTCATGAATTAATAGTCTCTTCTAAAGGCCTGGGCAGTAGTAGTGGCTGGACTTGCTTCTTTTGCACAAAGCACTGATTGTTTCACGCGAATCGCGATAGCCTCTGCTATTTGGAGCAATTTATTTGGTACCCGGTAGGTGATAGAGAAGGATTCTTCAATGCTGGCTTTGCGAGCGGTTTGAGCCAGGTGGTGGAATACCGAACTGTTGATGGTTTTTACTACACCTTTACTTAGTCATACTGGGAGATGTTCTCGAGTACGAAAAATCAAGTTCCTAAAACAAGAGCTGATGTAACTCGCTCCACAAGCACAGTTGAATTGGTAGATACAATTGTAAGTGGCTAGTCTAGGTGCTTCATCTCTCAATTGAGGAATCACCATCGGTCGTGTAGAAAATAAGATTTGTAGTTTGCCAGCATTAAAGGTTCTCTGAACTGATTTTTTAACTTCTTTGTAATTATTTCACTTGGTATATCACCCTTGAATTGCAGTCGTCTGTATAAAGGCTTCTTGTTTACGGTTAGTGAGTAGTCCTTTTCCGTTTTCTTTGTGAAGTGTTTCTTCATAAATTTGTCGGGATAGCTATTTTCGATCAAGGTATCATATCAAATCCTTAGTTCATCAGGTCCGGAAGGAACTCCAAGTACTGAAACGCCATAAGGCACCCGATCTAGACAATCTGCCCCCGGTTCTTTTTAAAGATGGTGGCGAGACTGTTGTAATGGTTCTAACCGGATTATTCAGGAAGGTAAGGGAGATTTAGGATGTACCATCACTGTGGAATGAAGCCCTTATCGTCCCCATCGTTAAAAGGGGTCGACGTAACACTTGACAACTATAGTGGTATCAGTCTGCTACCAGTTGCGTCTAAAATAATGGCTGCTGTCTTGCTTCGCAGGCTGTGCAAAGCACGTGAGGGATTGGTTCGCAAGGAGCAGGCTGGGTTTCATTGAGGTCATTGATGTACTGATCATGTGTTCACCCTTCGTTAGTTGTTGGAACACCGCCACACGTATTGCGGGCCAACAATCTTTGTGTTTCTTAATATTAAGAAAGCCTTCGATTCATTGGATAGAACTGTGCTCATGAACTGTCTGTTAGAGACAGGTGCACCTGAGAAGTTTGTGAACACCCTGAAAACCCTATACAGAAACACCTCAGGTAGGATGAGG